GGAAGGGGTAGGGGAACCGTTCGATGATTGATATCTGCTCCATGTTGTTGTAATCTTCTCCTTTTCTCTGGAAGAGAGAGGCAGAGATGGATGCTGGCATCCCACTGCTCAGCTGCTGGCATCTTCCCTGGGACTTACAGCCTTTGGCATCCCCCTGCTTCCACTGCCCTGCATCAAGCTGGACCCTTGGTATGGTACGGGCTGTGGGTGCAGAGCCCCCCGTGCCAAGCAGGGCTGTCCTCCATTCCCACCACCCCAGGGCAGGGTAACTCTCCCTACTTCCCCAGCAAGGGGACAGGGGGACACAAGCAGGGACCCCGGGACCTTCCTCACCGGGATCTGCCGCTCGGGGGGAGGGTTGTTTTCAGGCACCACTGTCTCCACACAGGTGATCTTCTCAATGTCCACCGAGCCCTTCTTACTGCCCCGGCGCTGCAAGAGACAGGGTTGGTTCAAATGATTGTCAAGGGGGAGACCCGGGAAGACTCAAGCCAACCACTGTCCCCTTGGGCTGGGTGCTGGTGAGGGACAACTGGTGACCCATGGGCACTGCCATGGCACAGCCCCTGTGGCCCTGGGGCCGCTGACTCACCCCCCGCTCAAAGTCATACTCGTAGTAGGACAGCTTGCTCTCCGTCAACAGGAACAGGCGCTTCTTGAAGTTGAGGGGAGACGTTTTCTTCTTCTGCTGCGAGCGCTTCAAGAAGATGCTCTCCAGGATGATGCTGGCCATGTCGGCCCCCTCAGCCTCCTCTGCGCCGTGCTCTCTGGGTTGCTGTGGATAGGGCAAAACCAACAGTGCGCTTGCTCAGCCAAAAACCTGCCCACCACAGGACCTCGCTCAGGTGCACTCTCTCCCCTGCTTGAGGGGCAGCCAGGGGCTGCTGGGACCCCCACGGGGGCAATCAGGTGCAGAGGTGTGTGGGCAGGCCAGCGTGGGGTATTTGTGATGTGACCTCTCCCTCTCCTGTCCCCTCTCCGACGCCAGGCTGCAGAGCAAGCCACCACCCAGCAGGCTTTGGCTCCCGCTGGATGCAGGAGGGGGCCTCAGGGTGTGCAGACGGACAGACGGACACAGATGGCTGGAGAGGGAGGGAGCCGAGGAGGCTGTAAGAAGCGTAGCCCCGGGGAGGAGCGCAGAGCCTGAGCAGCGACACCCAGGTCCCTCCTCCCTTCCAACATAGCGCGTGTGTGTTTGTGTGGGCCATTTCCTCCTGCTGCACCACAGGCGCTTCGTGCTGGGGACGTGCTGACTTGGCAGCGTGCAAGGGATGGCTGCGGGAGACCAGTCCCTGAAAAGTTGTTGGTAGGTCCTAGCCACGAATAACCACAATGCTGTGCTGCCGAGAGCACAGAGTAGCCCTAAAGTCATCCTTCCCCTCTGCGTCCATGGAGCCCGCAGGAGCGCAGGGACGATGCTCAACCCCCTTTCCTCCCCTGTGAGCAGCGCTCGCCAGAGGCCAGGCTCGAAGGGCTGCCTCCAGCCAGCAACCAGCCCTCCTCAGCAAAGCTCTCCACCTGAGCCTCCCCAGGGATGGTCCAGGCAGGAAAGGGCTCAGGTGAGAGCCCTGCATCCTGCTGCTGCCCTGCCTTCAGGGGTCTGGAAATCCACCCTGGCCCATCTCTTGGAGCAGCTCGTCCATCTCACCCTGTGCCCCTCCATGCTGCACCTGGGCACTGCAACACCCAGGCGGTTCCAGCACCCCACAGAGCCACGTGGCTGGAGCTGTGGGCTTCTCCTCCTCTGAGGGCTGTAACTAGTACCTGACTCCAGCCTGGACCTAACTGGGAGCTGATGAGCTACATGGAGCCACTGCTGAACTGTAATCCCCTGGAGCCCTCCTCCATCTCTCCTGCCCCGACCCCCTACATGCCCTGCTCCTCCTTCACCTCCACCTCGTTCCCTTTTTTCTCCTACAAACGCAGCTTTGGAGGGCAACCTGGGAGAAGCTGTTTCCCTCCCCTGCTGCCCACAGCCCATCTTCTCCAGAGGAGGCTCAGAGGTGGGCCAGAGTCAGGGGTTGAGCCCCCCGCTACCTGGCTGGACAGCCCATCCGCTCCTGCCACGCAGGAGCATTGGCTCACTTGTGACAGGGACCAGGTGGGGACCAAAGATGCCAGGAGCTGGTCCCACCTGCTGTGCCTCTCTCCAGGGCATGCCCCAGCCCAGGGGCAGGAGCAGGGCCGTATCCCCATCTCCCAGCACAGATCCTGCTGCTGCAGTCCTGACCCTGCCTCACTGCGGTGCCTATAGCCAGAGAGGCTGGGGACAAGCAGGGTTTCCCCCTCCCAGGGTCCCCTCTTCCCTCCCCTTGTGGCCCTCATGGCTCAGGCCTTTCCGGCTTGTTTGGGTGGTTTAAAAAAAAAAACAACAACCTTAAAAAATGAGTCGTCAGAGCCTTTTAGAAAAAACAGCAGCCTCCACTGGCTGATGCAGGCCTGGGGAGGAGGGAACTGGGCTCCCTGGCAGGTGGCTGGGGTGGCCACTGACCCCAGACTCCTGGCGGGGTGGTGGGTGAGCCCAGAGTGACCCCAGCATCCCGCTGTAGCCCCATGCCTCAGTTTCCCTAGCTATAAAATGTGGCTGCCGGTCCTGTGTCCCAGGAGCAGCAGGGCTCCCATTGCACCCCCCGGCACAGGCACAGGGGCTGAGCAAAGCAGCCCCAGGCTCCAGCCCATCCCGACTGCGGTGCTGGGTCCCCAGAAGCTTTACCTTGAGTCGCAGCAGCTGGGTCACTGCCAGCAGTGCCGGGCAGATGGGACACGTCCTCGCTGGGTCTTCTGGGACAGTGCCACCAGAGAGGAAAGGATGATGAGTATCTCAGAGAGCTGTTCTGTCCCAGCATGGCACAGCCACCCTGTCCCCAGCACTGCCTCCTTGCCCCCAGCATGGCACAGCCTCCCTCTCCCCAGGACTGCCACCAGCCCCACTCTGTCCTTGCCTGTCCTTTGGGGTGGTGGGTGCCCCATGGGACTCACCCCCGCAGCCAGCCATCGCAGCCGTGCTGTGACAGCAGAAGTGGCGAGTGGGTGGGTGGAAGCATGTCCTGTGTGTCCCCCCCAAGGTAATGTGACTTCCTGCCACTGTCACACCTTGGCCAAGCGTGCTCTGACACCACCACAGGGCCCAGCACACACTGCTGCCCCGTGCCACCGGATGCTGTGCCCCACCATGGTCCAGGGGCCACCCCCCCACAGGCAGGCTCCCCAGCCCCTGCCCGTGTCCTGCTAAGGAGCCGAGCCTGCCTGCCACCACTGGTTGGTGATGGGCTGGCGGGGGGCTGCATGCTCAGGGCAAGTAGGAAGGGTGACAGAGTGTCTGGGAATGACAAACTCCACAGCCCCCATGTTTCAGGTGCAGCCTAGAGGGTGACAAAAATGAAGGGTGGAAGGGACAGAGGAAGGAAACTCCCCATGGGAGAGACTTGGGAACAAACCCAGAGCTGCACCCCAACAGCGCCCACTGCAAAAAGCACGAGCAAGGAGTAGTCAAAGGCACTGTCAGCACCCCGACCCCCTGCTCTGGAGCACCCCTGGGGTCCCCGGCAGTCCCACACCTCCCTGATCCCGTGCGCTGTCGCAGCCCCAGAGCCCCCCGCAGCCCCACACCACCCCGCCCTCCCGTGCCCGTGCAGCCCCGGGGTCCCTGGTACCCATGCACCACCCTGACCCCCTGCTCTAGTGCAGCCCTGCAGCCCCTGACACCCACACACCGCCCCACCGCCCTGCTCCGCTGCACCCCCGTGGCCCCCGGCCCCGTGGCAGCTGTCCCGCCCCCGGGCAGATGCCGCCTGCTCAGAGCTGGCCAGGCTGCGGGACAGGGCTGAGCCTTCCCAGTCTGGCAGCGCGCGGCCTGCGCCCAGGATGGCCCTCCCGGCACTGCCGAGGGGGCGAGCAGAGGTGCGAGGCCGCAGGCAGGCGGCGCATGGAGGGCGCCCCCCCCCCCCCCCC